ACAAAACACCAAGTATCAAAGACTGTCAGGTTTTAAACACGGGTGGAGCGGGTAATCTTGTTTACTTATTCTGGAGCAGTTTGTATGAAGAGCAATTTGTATGAAGAATTCCACCAAGCTGCTCCCTCGTTGAATGAAAAAGGTTTTATGGAGTTACAGTACACTATAAAAGCACACTTAGTTTGTTTATGTAAATGTAGCTGGATGTAGCTAAAGCCTATGTGCTATTGCCCATCCAGTGCTTGCCATGCCAATATGTTATGAAGAAAAATACTGAAACTTGCAGTTGGATTGAAAAGTTTTACACAATTCTCTGGAGACATTAAATATTTCTTTTTGTAAGGACAGTTGCTATCCAGGGAATGGACATAGTCTGTTTGTCGGCATGCCTGCGTGTCTATCTGCGTGTCTTTGTTCGGATTTATAATGCACCTCAAATGATGACAGATGAGCGTACATGTTTCCAGATGTGCCTCACACTTTGTTCAACTATTGAAGCATGTTTTCCCCTAACGGAGATCTATGAATGTCATTTCACTGCACTAGCTCTACATTGTCACAGCAGATGGTAGTCATGGTCAATATAGGTTAGTGTGAAAAATGTACTGACACTGTTCCTTGCCCAGTTTATTGGCATAACACATGCATATTGTATGAAAATCCCAACATCGATCTCAATACAGTCGTCCCCCAACTTGCAGTCAATACGTTCTTTGACAAATGGAGCTGTAGCCATAAAGCTATCGGAATATGGAAATGTGCTGAGTCGTGCAGCGGGGGGGGGGGGGGCTTGAAAGAAGGGATTGAATTAAATGATATAGGGACACCTTGAGGAGGGAGGGAGACAGTGAGAGGGAGTGAGCAGGTAATCTGTTCTGCCTTATTACATGTTAAATGGGACACGTTCACCCTCTCATATCATTTCTGCCCCTCCTCTCAACCTCGTTTCCTGTTCCCTCCTTAAGGAGAACTTCACAAAGGAAGTGAGCAGAGTGCCTAGAGTGTTTCGCAGAGGCTCTTCGTCTGCTTCTCCTACATCGCTCTTTTTTTCTGCAGCCTTTCTCACAAACACACCTCTCTGTCTTAAGATAAGATCATATTTGCTTTATTGATGTAGAAGGCATTGCACATAATGTGAAAGTAAAGAGTAGAAAATAAACAAACATTAACATAAAATACAAACATCTCAAAATGGAAAATAAAACGGAACTAAAAAGTCAAATATACACATGTTGACAGTGAAAGACTGTTTATAAACAAGGGCATAATGACAGCTAACCACATTTAAAAGTAGGATAAGGAATAGCATATTAAATGACATCTAAATATAAAATATACAGAATGAAGTCCAGTCTTACTCATATCTGCCTCCCTGTCCTTTTTCTTCTCCTTCTTGTTGTCTCCCTTCCTTCCCGTTGTTATTTATGTCGCAGAGTACCTGTAAAGTACATATCTAAAGCAACCGCCATTTCATTCCTATCAGCGGATCAAAGCAATAGGGATTTACTTGGTGTATATGTGTGTGGTGGGGGTGGGGTTCATGAGGTGTTGTTATAGAGATCTTTACTTCTACTGATGGCACGAGGCGAGACCCCTATATGACTGTTTAGATTGACTGTCTCTGGGGTACAGGGGTGCAGCACACACACAGACACACACACATATAGGGAAAATAATAACCAGTTATATCTGGCTGGATGTCTCTATTTGTTTCAGTGTCTCCCGCTACATGCAGTTTTATTAAATATCCCATGAACCTCTTGGGGATAAGGGAGGGAATATAGGGAAGATAGAGATGGTAAAATGGGAGAGACAAAGTGTGGAGGAATTGATTGGCAATGGCTGCATCTTTAAAGGTGTACAATAATCTATACGCAGCGGGAGTGTCGCCAGTAGGGCTTATATCCCTATGTTGGGTCATGAGATTAATTCGCAGGGGTCAGGAAATAAGAAAGAAATGAGCTCTGCCGCAATATAATTCTGTTTTTCAGCCTTTTCTCTGTGATCATTGAGTCCTTCTCTACCAATAACAGACTCAAAAATATCACAACGTGTTCACAGGAATCTAACTTAAGACCAAACCAGGGCTTCATTTCCTGTAAATCATTTAAATATAGCTATAAAAAAAAAAAATTAAAAAAAAATTGGTTTTGCTTCTGGAGTGATACAGTCTTGATGTTTATGAACGCCTTACTCCTCAGGTTACAGGAACTGGATGATTGATGTTTTTGACTTTATTTATTAAGCACACACTATGATTCCCACAGTAGAAGAATCCGATGTGTATTCAGTTATTGATATGTATATTGCCCTGACTTGCTATTCTGGGATAACTGATTAGAAAAACAAAACACTGGTCATGTTGTAGTGGCTGTGGTTTATAACCTGAAATGACATGCATATCGTGTTTGCATCTGCTCACCCTGCTGCATAGCACTACAGCCTTCACACTATAGTTAATGATATGAGGGCACCTAATGTAAAACTGAGGGGGGGGGGCTGCAGTCATTCCCCAGCAGCTCTGTGGTTGTGGTTGGCTGCAGGAACTTAATGTTAATCTTAATGATAGATGATGGAGGATGCAGCGTGCCGCCACAGAGTGTATGTGACAGTGTTATTGTCTCCATGATAAACTCAACCAGTGTCTCCCTGCAGAGAGCACGCAAAAATAGAAGTACCACTGTCTTCTTCCTCATCAAGAAATGCTCTTTCTATCAACCCCCCTCACCCTCTTCCTCTCTCCCTTCCTCTGTCCTCTTTTCTCTCTCTGAGGCCATTACTGGTGATAAACACTGTGGTTTGTATCAGCAGGATGCACCTGGTATTAACGCGAACGCTTAAGAAAGTAATTAGTGGGTGTATGTGGCTCCGCTCGTCCCTGTAGATGCCCATAGGCGGTGTAATAAATGAGCGCCAGGATCCATAGGAATAGGATGGCAGCGATTTCTGCTAGCACTGCTGTCATCGTTCAATACCCCGACGCAGAGCAATGGCCTTGTCATGCCTCCTAGCAAATGACTGAGTTTCTCCCCAATGGATCAGCAAATGCAGAACCTTATCCACACGCCCAACAGCGTTATGTTCCAGTCTGCGCTCAAAGTGATAAGACATAACGAGGAATCAAACAACTTTTGGGGAAATATGCTTTTTCACTTTCTTACTGAGGGTTAGATGAGAAGACGGATATCACTCTAATGTCTCTACAGTAAACAAAGTAGTTACTGTACAACCACAACATATTTAGAAAAGCCTTACATGTATATGGCTCTGTCGATAGGTGAGAAAATTGGTCTACCAGCGACCTTAAGGATCACATTGGTCCCAGTCTGAGACTAAACTAAGCTGATGTAGCTTCAGATTTAGAAGACTGATATTGATCTCCTCATCTAAGCAAAAAGCCAACAAGAGTGTGTCCCAATTAACCATTTCTATCTTTTGAAGTGTTCCTTACTAGCTCCAGATATAATATGTGTTACTCTGTTTGCCTCTGAGCATTGTTTTTGATGGGGAATGATGAGGTATATTGATTCATCACATTACAGTTGAAAATATGGAGAGCACATCCAATTTGCCACTAACATGGATTTACAAGGACTATCGATTTTTCCGGCCCCCTTAACAAATATGACCATGTGGTGATGCACATATGTACACATGCACACACTGCACCCGCTTCCTGCTGCATTGCACCCTGGGTAATGACCCATGCTACCAATCTCCTGCTTTGTATCCAACGGGAGGGTAATTTCTCACTCCAGGGGGCAAATCAAACATCTGATTCTGACTACAGGGGCTCGGATTCACCCCCAATATTCCTTTGAGATCTCCGGAGTCGCTGACGGGCAAATTCCCTTTCTCTTTCACACCCATGCGCTCCGTTTAGTGAGGCAGATGGAGTGTCCTGAGCACTGGTGTGAACAAAACGATGACACCGCCATTAGCATAATAGCCCTAGCATGCACATGTGTCGTCATTATGGATTTTTACGAGGTGTGGGAAGAGACAGACAAAAGCAGTTAACACTGGGGTAGGCACCAGCGCTGGTGGTACATCCCACTACTTAGATTAGATAAAGGATCCAACTATTGCATAGATATAACATAAGAGTCCCATTTAAATGCGCTGAAGTTTAGCGTTGCATTTCCCATTAGAAGGGCCAGCAGCTGGATCAGCTAAGACGGCAGCACTGAAGCTGTAACAGACCTCAAGGACAGACCTGGGTGTGCTAAGCTAGTGATGTGTGGCTTGTAAGCAGACATATTAGCATTCACAATATACAACAACAACCTCCTTGTGGAAGCTGAAAGATTGAATTTGCCATTTAGACCACTCCAAGGTGACAGCAATGCAGTCTGTAAATGGTTCACTCTTTCAGGCAGCCTTTCTGAATCAATGGATGGATTTACTACTAGCCAGTAGGGGATCAATACTCTTGTCCGTGAGGCCTTTTTAAAGCGTGTCTTAGCGGTAAGACATAAGAACAGAGACTAATTTAAAGGAGTGTATACTTAGCTTTCCGGTCATTTCGACCTCATCATCATTATCATCAGCACTTTGTAGCAACTAAGGGTTGTTGCATGTTGAGAATAAACCGATGCTCTTTGTTGTTTTCTCTGCATTATGCATTGATTTGCAGAGTTAGTTTGTGTTTCATGCAGCGCAGATCAACCTCCTTTTTAGGGCATGGACTCTCTTGAGATAAATGACCATCCACCAAGCCCATAATATGTCTGTAATCCTCTTCTCTTGTTTTTTATTTCTATAGCTCATACGTATTCTGTCAGTCTTTCTGAATTGCCCATCCTTACACATATCCCTTCATTTTCAGTCCACGTTTGACTCTAACTCACACATTTATCTCTGCCCTTTCTTACGCTTTTATCCTTCCCCTTCACCTTTATCCCATCACACTTTTTTTGCAGCACCCTGCCCTCAATTTTAACACCATATTTTCCGTTTTCACACTATTTCTCTCCCCTTCTCCCACCCCCCCCCCGCAGGCGCTATGAGACGTACCCTGTGTGTGCAGACCTGCAGGGCCAGATCCTGGCGTGCTACAAGGAGAACGTCGGGAAAACCCTCAACTGCTCCAACATAGCAACCCTTTACCTACAGTGTGTCAACAACACTAAACAGGTACGTGTTTACTGAACTAATCTCATTTATTGTAGGTCTTATCTCATGTAAACATCATTTCATACACTAAGCTAGCATCTTTTGCATATGCATGTTTTGTTGTGTGTTGCATGCTTGTTAGATAAATGAGCGTGTCTTTCTGTGCGACTGTACTTTGCACGTGAGGAAAATACATAAAACGTTATAATTATAAACCCCTCCAAATTAACATGTTTTTTTCTGTCTGATAAGAATGACAAGTATGTACATGCACCCTCATGGACAGATGATATGTAAGTTGTAGCGCCTCCTGATCCTTTGGTGTAGCTTTCAGTTGAATCGATGTGTGTATTACAAAGTAGCCCCATGTGCGTGTTAGTTACACCATACGTCATTGGGCCCATAGATGTGTACGGTAGCTACAGTTGAGAAGCCATTCCCTTTTTAAATGTCTAAATTAATTATTGTAATACACACATACACGCTAGCATCCATTTACATGTACTGGCTCCTGGCTTTTAGACAGGAGAATATCATTTCCGCTGGGCGACTGGCGCCTGAATAAAGCTCACTCTAAATAGCCACTTTAAACCTTCTGGTGTATTTCCATGATACCTGCTGACACAGGCGTTCCCTTGACTGTCTCTGTGTGTGTTTTAATGTAATAAGACCAAGGGAGTAGCTTCTGCTAGTTGGATACCATTGTCCTCTCTCCGTTCATTGCCAAGTGCAAATGTTTTCCCGCCCTCCGTCTCCCACGGTCACACACTGTATGGTAATAGTAATGTCACTCAGGTTGAGATTAACTTGATTCCCCCTCCCTCACTTTGCAATATGTAACATCACTTTGCCCCCAAAATGCTCAATTTACATTCATAGAGCTTTTCTATTAGATTTTTTTTACAATTGCATTGTGAAATGAGGAAAACTGAGTTGTTTTTTTTGTCTATCCCTCACTCTCGTGGGTATTAGTATTAGATCTGAAAGTAAGATGCAAGCAGATTTTTAAGCTATACATCATGTAAATTACACAATGTTTTATTCATTTTGTGGATGTGTGTGCGTGTGCGTTTATCACAGACTACCTGTAGCCTCGTCAAGATTCAGCAAGGGTGCGTTCACAGTCCGGATGCTGTTATGATCTTGTAAATTGTTTGGAAGCAAGCCTGCGACGATATGTTAATCCGCTTGTGTTTATCACCCCGAGGCAATCACAGCACACTCCTGTTCGTCTGCGCTTATCTGTGTAAGACTTGCTTTTAACGTCATTAGGTGCAGAAAAATAGGAGTTCTATGATAAGGATTTAAAGGAATATTATGCAGAGTTACAAAGCTGACAAAACGGGGAAGGAATGAAGTAGGAATGGATAGTAGCTGATGGTGGTTGGTGATTAGGATGTTTACACAGCTTTATCAGAGCCCAGCAGGAAGCTGCTCTGAGAACAAATGTCAAAGGACGTGACTTTGACCTCTGAAGGTCACAAGATCCAAACGTGGCCTCAAAAACACGTCTTATCTCCTCTCCTTTTTTGTCAAAGACTCTTGATAACATAGGTCATCCAGTTTTCAGCAAAATCTCTTTCACCTTCTTCGTCCTTCCTCTTCAAATCTTAAATTCCACTAAAAGCTGCTTCACCATGGGTAAAGATGGAGACGTCAAAGATTGCATCTTGTTGGGGATAAAAACCCAAATCTCCCTAAATCTTAGTTTTTTTTATATTGAACCCTGAACTAAAGTCATCCAAAGACAGGCGTGGTCACCCCCAGCCTTTGTCACTGATAATTAGCGCTCTTATCTCCAGTCAGTGATAACATTTAGACCCACTTTCGCTCTCTTTCAGTGCCCTCTTTGCCCTGTCACTGCCCCTCCTTCACTGCCTCCGTCCAACCCTCCATCCCATCAGCCCCAGTCACATTTCTAATGCATTCAGCACTTAACAGGTCCAGATAGCATACAGTGAGCAAGAGGCAGTGGAAGGACAGATAAAGTCTCTCTTTCTCTCTCGCTCTGTGAATAAGAGTTTATCATGGAAGACGATCTCTCATCCACTGCTTGCCTCCTCATTCCATATTCTCGCCGCATGACCGCCCCCTGCTCCCTATCTTTTCCTTCTCCACTTCATTTTTTAGACTGACCCTTCCATCTCCTTTTTACTCTCTCAGGGCCCACGAGAGCCCTGTTTGGGGTTTCAGAGGGCGTTGTGCTTGCAAAAGGATCAAAGTGGAAAAAGACCTGGCTGCCAAAACTGCATATAACTCCAAGGCATTCATTATTTTCAATCATAATCAAAATCACTCTTGATAAAGTATATCAAATGTACTGATTGAATTTGTCCTTTTACTTTTATTTTAAACAGTTAGTCACTCAACATGTTGATATTGCAATAAGAAACACACAATAAGGTTAGTCTAGGTGAGTCACACGTAAAATAATGTGAAAAGTGTCTGTTGTAAACAACCATAACAGTTCTGTATTGTACAGAAGAGTAGTTCCGATCATCCCTAAGCTCAGAAGATATACCATATTAAAGTTATCTGATGTAATTGTGTTCCCCATTCTCAGCCCTTTGACATTGTAGATACATAGAAATGATAACAAATAAGGCCCATTTCCTTTAAACTGGAATTACTCATATCTTCAAAGTCTAGCTTTTTACAGTGGAGTTTGGGAAGATCATTAGTGCACTAAATAAACAGAAATGAAACGTTATTTATCTCATGCCACTATTAAGTTGGTCGGTAAGGAAGAAGACATTTCTCTTTCTCACTTCCTGTCCAGGTTACTCTCTTCCTCATGTCCCTTGTTCCTGGTCCTTCTTTTCTTTCTTTCCCAGAGTTTCCTCTCAGGCACTTTTCATGCAGTGGCCCTAGCTGCAATAGGCCAGTTCAAATGGTTATTGACAGGGAGTGCTGGGGATTTGTGGCTGCACTTATCGCTAACATGGAATCCACTGCCCTCGGGTCTTTTCTCCACTTCTCCAACTCACTCAATCCTCCACCCTTCTACTGCACTCTCAAGCCTCCCTCTCTCCGTCTTGTGTCTCCAGTGGGACATAATATCCTTCTCTTGGTTGGTTTGTCTATTAAAATGTTTTTTTTATGTCTCTCTAATGCACTTTTCTTTCTGTTTTTCTCTGCAGAACAAGTTAAGAACAGGGGGCTAAGACGGAGAGAGAGACACAGAAAGCAATGAAAAGTTTATTGTGTGGGATTACTGATTATCGACCGACTGTCAAACAGACCAAACCGGAGTGGAGGAAGTGAGGTATGAGTCAGCACCAAGACACCCACCCTCAAAAACCCTGTGGAGAACCGACCCGAGCCAAACCAGACCACAGGCACCGAACACAGCACCCTGATAGAGAAATAGACACTTACCCCTCTCTTACCTTCTGTCTATCTCTCCTGTGAGTAAGTATGGAGGCACTGACACTGTCTTCCATTTAGTAGAAACAGCAGCGACTGAGCTATTCCCGCTGGAAGGACTGTAAAAATGAACCAGAACGATCACAAGAAAGCAAACCACCTCAAACCACTTGGATCAATCCCCTCCCACTTCAGCACTGATAGGAAATAATAATAAATGTCGATGTTGTTGTCCACAATTCATTGTTTTCCTGCTCCTATTGCACTTCCCTCCACACTTCTGCACATCTGTTTCTTCTTCATGTAATGTTAATAATGTAACCATCAGCATGTTGAGCGTTCATCCAGACCAACACTTGTGACAATGTCTGATCAGAAGTAATAAAAGACGAAACTATGCAGTAACTGTTGTTGAACTTTTTCTCCATAAATATTCAGCTGGCTCTGTCTCTCCCACGTGCGAGTGTGTTTTATGCTAATTACAGCAAGCATTGTACGTCTTTGATGGATGCGCAGCCCTCGTGTTGTCACGATGACATTTTGTGAATGAGCCCAGGAGAGGGGGACTGCAGCGGGGTGGAAATATCTGTCCCAGATGTTCTGCTCGTAATCTATCTTTCTTTCTGTTTTGCTCTCTTTCTTTTTGCATGTTGTGATTTAGTATGAATCCTTGGTGTGCTGCAGCTTTTCAGTGAAAACGCAGGGATCTCTACCTCCTCCTCATCCCCTCGCTATCCCTCGTTCCTTCTACTTATATACTTCTTTCTCGGTCTTCTTTATTACTAGAGTGCGTTTCTTCTCACTTTCCCAGGCTAATGCTGCCTTGGAGGCGACGTGTGTGTGTGTGTGTGTGTGTGTGTGTGTGTGTGTGTGTGTGTGTGTGTGTGTGTGGGTGTGTGTGTGTGTGTGTGTGTGTGTGTGTGTGTGTGTGTGTGTGTGTGTGTGTGTGTGTGTGTGTGTGTGGTGTGTGTGTGTGTGTGTGTGTGTGTGTTGTGTGTGTGTGCTGTGTGTGTGTGGTCGTGTGTGTGTTGTGTGTGTGTGTGTGTGTGTGTGTGTGTGTGTGTGTGTGTGTGTGTGTGTGTGGTGTGTGTGTGTGTGTGTGTGTGTGGTGTGTGTGTGTGTGTGTGTGTGTGTGTGTGTGTGTGTGTGATGTGTGTGTGTGTGTGTGTGTGTGTGTGTGTGTTGTGTGTGCTTTGGGATGGAGCGAGGTGATTACAGACCTTATCTTAATTCTGCATCAGAAGACGAAAGTGTGTGTCGGATGGACAGACAGTGAGAGAGAGAGAGTGTGCGTGCAAGCATGCGATTTGTTGTGACTAATCCCCCTCTGTCTGTCAGTCAGCTGTCCTTTTGCTTTTTGACTTTTGGAGTCTCTAAGGGGTGAGGGGTTGACGTGTGTGTGTTGGAGGGGCTTTCTAAAGGTTGGGGGTAAAGCTTTGGGGGTCTCTGGCAGGTGTTTCTCCACCGAGTCCCTTCACTACTGTTGTTTTCTCTCTGTGACTGTGACACAAGCTCAACGACTCCTTTGTATCTGACGCAGTACCTCGGATCCCAGATCAGTGATTTAACAGTGTATTCTGTCTTTAATGAGATGATATGCTCTCAGATGATAATTAAAGGATTATTAGAGAATCATGAGATCTAAACACAGGGCTCACCTTTTCCATTGAAATGCCTTCACCACAACCTTTTCAAAGCTTTTATACAAAAAGCTCTCTTCTAAGGTTGGAATTAGAATGTTTTGCCTCATTAGTTTGATGTTTTTCCTGAAGAAAAAAAAAGCATGTTAGGAAAGGGCATAATGCAATTAGAAATTAATGTACTGCTATATTAGATGCAGTTTACATAAATGCATCCTAAAGGCACTGTGAAAATCTTCCATTTATCAGGTGGCAGAAGTAATGAGATTTTGATATGAAGTTTAGGGGATGAATAAAGAAATCAACGTTCATAATAACAGACTGAGCTGAACAGACAATAAATCTTATTTTGTTCTTGTTACAATGTCCACAAGAGTTCCTTGGATGTCCTTTAGCGGTGAGCTGCTGCTAAATGCTGAAGTTATGATGCACAGCAGCAACAGGCGGGGTCCAGACTGTGGTAGTTTGGGAGCGCTGCAGAAGGCCGCTGTCTCTAGGGAGGGGGAAACGGTGGAGAATGAAGATGAAGGACACATGAATAACAGGTAGTTCATGCAGAGGTGAATCAAATTCTGCTCCTAAAATAAAACGATGCAAAACACAAATTCCATTTTAGGATATCTTTGAAAACTGACATAACTCAAATGGTTGCATGTTAAGCTACTTGAGTTATATCTGAGTTTTCTTTCTGATAAAAATTAGAAAATTATAGTAAAAACATTTCAATTTCAGATAAGGTAATGTGTTCAATGTAGTCATATTTTGCTCATTAATCCAACACAATATGATATTGCATTATAAACTTCCTGTTTCAGTACTAAAGTGAAAAATACAATCTGATCTCACCAGAATGGTGACTCCACCACGACTCCTTAACACCGCATTGCGTGGTGGAGTCACGCATTCTGTTACATTTACGTGTCGGCACCACGCAAAAAACCCCAATGTAAAGTGAATGAGGCTCTTTTGTCGTGGTGCACACACGCATTTCTACAACGTCCCGCAGTGAGCTTTTATTCTATAAAACGTTTTTTAAATCTACTATATAGCTTGTATAACTCACGGGAGGCTTCTTTTATTTTATTTGTATTCATAATAATTTTTATTTTTCGTCAGAATGTATTATGGTGCATTAGTTACGAATTTTTGTTCTCAAAAAACAATGCATTGTGTGTAATACAACTGTGATTTTTATTAAATTAGTTAGTTTTTAAGGAAGGCCAGAGCTTCAGCTGTGTCAATAGATTGTTCCCTTTAGTTAACGTTATTTAAAAGATAATGATCATGTCCCCTTTATTGTATTACGAGCGTCCATTCCCATTGGATAACGGAGAATTTTACACCCGGAAGTGAGTATTCTCCTTACTGTCGATTGATTTTACAGTGATATCTGCACTACTCATAAACTAATAAACACCAGATTATCCTTGTTAATTACACAACATTGATTGGTTTAAATTGTGTACAATGCTTTTGTATTTTCCCCTTCGATTCGGAGAAACTAATATTTGTTCGGAGTTTTTGGATGGCAGAAGACACTACACTACCCAGAATCCTCAGCTATCGTTTGTGACCACACCATGTGCTTAGCTTGACAAACCCCGTGATCAGTCCCCAAGCTCTGTGATTGGATGTTGGAGTGGCAGTGCGCGAAGTTTACACGGAGCGTCAAAAAAAACCTTGAAATGGAATGAAACCCATCGACGGCACACTATTCAAAACAGGAATCGAACGTGTCCTACCCCCCCCCCCCCCCCCCCCCCCCTTAGGTCGCAGGCTCCTCCAACAGTGCAACACAATAAAACAGATACACAGAAAAAATAGTGAAATAGTGCAATAAGAGTCTATATACAAGTGATTGGAATCTTTTTTATTTTTTATTTAACCTTTATTTAACCAGATAAAAGCATTGAGATACAATCTGATTTTCAATGCTGACCTGGCCAAGAAGGCAGCAACGTTACACATAACACACACATATAAAAGAGAACATAACTAAGAAAACAAAAGACAAAAAAGCAGTCACTACATTGTGAATATGATATATTAGATCAATAATTTATATGTAGCAGCCAGATGAATGTTATGGATGTTGTTTCAAATATCAGGTGTTTAATAATCTTATGGCCTGTGGGATGAAGCTGTCCCTGAGTCTGGTGGTTTTAGTCCGGATGCTGCAGTACCGCCTGCCAGACGGCAGCAGACAGAACAGTTTGTGGCTGGGGTGATGGGGGTCTTTTATCATCCTGAGGGCTTTCTTTAAGGTTAATGTGGTGTTTTTACTCCACTACATTTATTTTAGTTACTTTACAGATTTGGATTAATGATGTGAAATATAAACAACCCTTAAATCAGACTTTAGTTACACCTGAGTAAAATTCAGTGAAGGTGATTGTCAAGTGCCAACAATCAGGAGAGATATTTGATAGTTCGTGCTTGAGAAGACTAAACATTTATCTGCAGATCCGTATAAAGCATATTCATTACTCGTTATTCTCTAATCGTTCATTAAAGACTATATATAATTGATATTTTGCACATCCCTTTCAAGATTTTCTAAGGTTTATTGACATATCATATACACAACTACGGTGTAGTTATGCAATGAATGCAAAACTTGGGTCACAGGTTCCTCAACAGTGCATTACAAGACATCTATCAATATGTGTATACCTCCACCATTAAACTGTCATATTCTGCACATTTATTATTCTATCTAACATCTTATAAGAATATAATAAATATGTATAATATCGGTTAAAATAAGTGCTTCAACATAGTTAACATTGCAGGAAAGTTGATTGTCAAGTTCCAAAACAAACCATGCAATATATTAGACGTTAAGTACTTTGTCAGGCTTAATAAGTATCTGTAGATAGAGATACCCCCAAAGCTTTTTTCTTATTTAAAAGAAGACTTTAGCCTAAAGTATTCTTTAATGTTTAAATAAAGCCTTATTAGTTTGTCTGTTTTGCACATCCTCCTATCAGGCACTAAACTATTTTATTGTAGATATTATTTACAGTATCTTCTTGATATTTTCTATTCTATATTTATATCATTGACCTTCTACTTTCCCACTATTTTGTATGTACTCTTAATATTTAAATGTTTTCATCAAATATAACACATTCAAAAGTGCTTTACAAAAATGAAAGACATTAAGAAAAAGGCATTTTAAACAGTCATTAAAAAGCAACATAATCTACCTGCATTGCAATTACTCCAAACGTGTAATAACGTGCTTTAACCAGTAGGTGGTTTGGGTTAAAAAGCTGTCAAGTTTACAGTGTTAACAAAATAAAATATACTGCTGTTTCTGGTTTAGTTTACGACGGATACATTTTGTTATTGTTTTGATATTTGTAACACATTAGCGATGGAAAAACCCCACAGCAACACAGAAAATATGATCTTAACAGTCTGACCCAGCGGTCTAGTAGTTAATAAAAAACAATAATATCAAAACAGATGATTACTACTAACTTTATTGTGAAATTAAAACAGAACGGTAAAAGAATAGTTTCCGGTCTATTCTGATGCCCGATCTCTGTAGATAAATAAAGAACTACGATAGATGTGTAATATTTAATGCAGCCAAACCATTTATTACAATGCATTCATGTGATGACTTTCAAAGAGTAAAGCAAGCACTGCTGAATAAAGTATGATTTTATCTTTTACGAAACGTTTTTTTTTATATGGAATGCAGTTGGAGGTCAACCAATCACAGAGCTTGAGAACTGATCACGGGGTTTTTCAATC